ACTGCACTTTAGAATGAGGAAATTTCTCATGCCAGTCCTCATTACCCACAGCCCTATCAAGGCAACATCTAACGGTAGCACTCCATGCTCTTCTTCTAACCCAGGAAAGCATGTTCCCTTCAAAAAGGGAACTCCAGCATACCACAGTCACTAAGCATCTGCTTAAAAGGCAAGAAGTAACTATCTGTGCGTGGCCTGTCTTCTTCTTTCTCTTCATGACAAATAATTTCATTAAAATCACCTATCATAAACCAAGGCTCATTTCTTGTTGTTGAGAAACGCGTAAGACGTTCCCAAACTAGATCTCTTCTTTCTACTACAGGATCCCCATAAACAAATGTCATATAGACTTTTATTTCATCAATGACTGCCTCAATGTCAATCATTATGTTATTCAAAAAATAAAACATTAACTTGAAATTCATCCATAAAAAATAAAGCTAAACCTCCGCTAAGTTCAAGTGGCTCAACGGTAAACAAACGATCAAATCCTAAGTTGGCCAGAATGTCTTGCAACAGCAGCCTCCTATTCTTCGTTTCAGAAAGGAACACAAGTCATGGACGATGCTTCTGACACATCTCCATAAGGCGTCGAATTGTGAGATTAGTCCCAATACCTCGACAGTTCCAACTGAGTGTCTTCATGGATGAAAGTGGGACGGGTTTTTGGACTCCATCGAACCACTGTCTTTTTTTAGCTTGGACCGATCCACTCTAGCTTTATGGCTGGAGTTTCGTGAGTTGCCTCTCTTGCCAATTTGCTTTTGGGTTGTTGAGCTTAGAGATCTCAACCGTGGAGACCCCCGGCGAAGAACCTCTTTTTCTTAGGGGTCCTCCTGTTACCATTCCTCAATCCTTTTACGCTTCTTGAACTTCTTGCAGTCACATTGTGCCGTGTAATATTTTTCTCCACAGATACTTCCAACTCCATGAGCTCCTCATAAAATAGATCATCCTCCTCATCCATTCCTTCCGCTTCTTTGTTTGATGGGATCTCCATGTCTGTCAAAGCCGCAATAACTCATGTATCATCGTTCTCTGTCCCAGTAAAATTTGTGGAATACGTCAAGGAACACACCACACTTCTTTCAAGTAGCATCACATTGTCTTGCAAGTTTGGAGAAGTAATCTTGCTGGCTAATCTTCTCCGCTGTGGGTGCTCAAACATCTTTGAAGGGTCTTCAGTTTGATCACTAGAATGGCTTACAATTTCTCCAACCTCCCTCGCCTTATTTTGGTCATAGGGACCTAGCTGAGGAGAGCGTGTACTGTTGTTCTCATCATGAACATAACCACCTCGAGAAGTCCCAACCATATTCACATTCTGTGTGTGTTTATACGGAGCACCCCGTCGGCTACTTATCTCATTCCTAGGAGAATGAGAACTTTTGCTATCATCAGATACATACTCCCCACGAGAGCTCCTGTCTATAGACTTATTCCTAGCTTGTTCAGAACCAAAAACTTGACGATCACTTGACACCTTCCGAGCCTGATCATGAGGTATTTTCTTATTCCTATTCTTCTCTCGCCATTCCACTCTATCCCTCTGGTTATACGGCGCAGAAGAAGCCCGAGAGTTATGAACATTAGCCTCCTCATGTCTCACAAAATCACGAGAATTATGGACATTAGCCACACCGTCACGAGATTTAGAAGCATCAGTCCCACCATCACGACAGTTAGGAACATTATTCTTCTCCCTTCAGTGAAGATCCTTGTGTCGAGCATACGGGGCTTGTTTGTGGCTAGTTGATTGTCTCTCGTTCCGTCTTCGCATCAGTCTGTCATGTTGATGATCAAAACGACTTTCAGATCGCTGATACACAGTGTCAACACGTTGTGATAAACCATCGTCTTTGCGAGCATAAGACTCAGCATTAGATCGTTGATAACCTGTGGCATTTTGGCGTCAAAGACCATTAGTTTTATGAGCTTTAAGATCTACTGTCCGGAGATTATGGTGTACCACAGAACTTCCATTGTTATTGATACCAGTGATGTTCATCCTCAAATCTTGGCCTTTACGCACGCTGTTGTTCCCCCCTCCTCTTTTGGTATCATAACACGATTAAAAACGCCAGACCTCACATTGTTTTGCAGTGGTTTCGAAGGACATTGCTCCTTCTCATGAGTTAAGAAGCCACAAGTAGTGCAATGTTTGAATAGGAGATCATAGGCAATCTTGATTGTGACTGCATCACCTTCTGAGTTCGTAGCCATCCTTGTGAACTTAAGGGGCTTGCGTGTGTCAATGTCAATTAGCATTCGTCCCTCCTCAAGTTCCAGGGTATCTACACGCCCCAAAGGGTTCCCAAGACCTCTCAGATTCTTTATGGTCCACAAGTACAAAGGCACTCCCGTTATAGTCATCCAAAAGGGTATAGTCCAAGGGTATTGATCGTGGACAATAGGCTCTCACCTCACTAGCACAAACATCCAGAAATTAAAGTGGAAAGGACCTTGTCGTAATACTTCCTTAAGATCCTCCTCTGTGGTAAAATTTAACAAGAATTTTCCATTCCTTAAATCGTTTGCTGTAATACGATCATGCATACCCCATTGGTTTGGCATGTAGTTGATTAGGCGTTCAACATTTTGTTTTCTGGGATTAAGGATCTTCCCAATTAATAAGAGTTTAAACTCTTGTAACACGTGAGAATCTTCATCATCGATAAGTTTGAAGGGCTCATCCTCATCGTCTATCATGATACCCTTTCCTTTGACATCATCCAAGTTTTCACCACCATAAGAACTCATTGCACTTAGAAGAAAAGGATCCCTCTGTGGTTCTCTGTTTTACGTTAAAAAAACAGAGTATGCGAAGAATTGATGGTCGGGGTGAGATTGAGCGTCAACAGAACCACAAAAGGTCAGGATCAAAGGATCCTAACACTGAAGATCAAAATAGACTCGACTGATGGCGTCAAATCCCGAAGAGAACCAGAACACCAAAAGATTGCGTAAGAAGTAACCTTCAAAGGAGAATTTGCGGTCTACACACCTTCAAAGGAAGAGTGCGTAAGTTGATTGTCTCCCAATCATAAAACTAGGAGAAAAAGCTGATTCGAAGAAATCAACTACAAGGAAGAGATGTCGTCGTCGATCGCTTGAGTACCAGAGAAACAGGTCCCCGTACTGCGCAAGGAACTCCGTAGGGTCAATGAATCCAAGAAGAAACGTGTCCATCACCAGTCGAACAAAGATTCAGACCAGTCTCACAACGCGATCTAACATCAAAGAGTATACAGATCAAGGAAGATGAAGCTGATTCGAAGAAATCAACTATAAGGAAGAGATGTCGCCGTCGATCGCTTGAGTACCAGAAAAACAGGTCTCCATGCTGCGCAAGTAACTTCGTAGGGTCAATGAATCTAGGAAGAAACATGTCCGTCACCAGTCGAACAAAGAATCAGACCATTCTCACAACGCGATCTAACACCAAAGAGTGTACAAATCAAGGTAGGTGAAGCAAGGATGCTGGAAATCTTCAGATCGCCTCATCTCTCGCCGCCGACCATATCTGATAAACGTGTTTGATCTTGATTTGAAGGAGAAAGCTACTTATTCCATATAACATGTACAGTGTTGGCCGCCACCTAATTGTTCTAAAACAGCGACAATGTTTTTGTTGACTCAATTTGTTTGTTCGTCCAATTTGTTCATTATTCAATATAATAGTATTTGATTTCATTACTTTCCAGTTACTTTTAGAAAACTCTCTAACAATTTCCTAACTATTTTAAGATTTTTGCGTTGGTCAAAAAAAATATGTGTGAGATTAAATTGCTTAATACTCCCTCCTTTCTTTTAATACTTGACGTTTTAGAAAAAAAATTATTCTAAAATAGATGATATTTATAATTTTCTATAAATTTAAATAATCAAAGATATTTTATCATCTATCTTATTATTGATTGAGTCGTTGTTAGATAAATGATTAATGATTGTTTAGAAATGTAAAAAGAATAAATGTTTTCTTAATCTATTTACATACTACTAAAGTGATGTTTAAAACGGAGGGATAATATAGAGGTTACTCCTGACTTATGTTACTCATATCGTGGGATTAATGAGCTACTAATGAGGCTTAACGCATTTAACAAATTATTCCGGCTGAAAAAGAAATCTTCCGGATGAAGTTGAATAAAACCACGAAAAAGGTAGTGCAAAGCCCTTTTACAAAAGAAAAAAAATGGTAGTGCAATTGTAATGGACAGGCTGTAATGGCGTCTCTATAGAGAGTTGAGACAATAACTTATCTTAACTCGGAAAGTTGACTAATAAGCCAGCATTGATATAATCATTTTCTTTTAAACTTCCTTAATTAAATACGAAAGGCGCCTACAAGTTCTATAGTATTTCCGAATAGCGCCTTTTATTTTACCATGGTGTAAACAATGCCAGTCTGTTTATTTAGTTGAGATTCGATGAAATCATATGCATAAGGTTGTTATAAATATACTCTAAAACGGCTTAAAGTCTCTCAAGATCCGTAATTATCCTTAAGAAATGTAAATAAAGATTTACATTTAGACTAAATAAAATTTTGGTTTGATATGCTATTATTGTATCAGCACTTATCTATCATTTTTGATATGTTACTTGCCAATTTTGTAGGATATATTTAAATTTTTAATTTACCCATATAACTGATTATTGTTGTTATCATTTATAAAAATATTAAAGATTAGAAAGAAGATTTATAACCATACATTGACGACCAAAAAAAAAGAAAAAGATATATACACAGAACACAACAAATAACTGTGATTTCTTTCAATATTAAAAAGAGATTTTTTACCTTTTGGATATTGGAACCGGACCGGACCGAACCGAACCGGTGATTGGATACGGTATTGATTGGCATTCACGAGACGACACGCGGATTCTACAAAAGATATAAAATTTGAGTCGTGGTGCGACGTTAAAAGGGTTGAAAGATAAATATAGATAAGTCTGGGGGTTTATTTGAAAATGTTAAAGTATACTAGGAGAATAAAGAAGAGATCAAATGAAAACGTAAAAAGAGAAAAGAAGAACGTCTCTTGAGGGAGAGAAAAAAAAAACGTGTCACAGAGTGGCGAATCACGCGACGAGTCTCGAGTCTTGACCTCACCTCTGCGTCTTCATGTGTGTTCTCCTTCGGTTTTAAAAGCTGTCTCTCTCATTTTTCATTACCATCTTAAATTACTCTCTGTCTCTCTTCCTCTCTCCTCTTTAAGGTTTTGTGAGAGACTTTGAGGAGTGAATTAGAGAAGAGTTTGGTTTGGTTTGTTTATTTTTTGGTAATATCGAGGAGTGATGTACCGTTATGAATGACTTTACATAGATTCCTGTGATTTTACTCTTTATTTTTTTCTGGGTTTCTTTTGACCGTTTTATATTTAATTTTCTCTCTAAAAAGAAGCTTTGATTCTTCTCTCTGTTCAAGAAGAATGAAGGAGGAACAGTCAAGATCTCTGTTCGGGATATCTCTGTCTGATCGACCAACATGGCAACAGTTTCTCATCTGCACTTCTGGTTTCTTCTTTGGTTATCTCGTCAACGGAGTTTGCGAGGTTCTTTTTATAATTCACTATCTCTTTTATTTTTTATTTTGGTTTCTATTCATTTCGAGGATCCTGAATTATAATCGCTAACGTTGATCATTTTTGAGATAATTCCGTATAATTTAGCTCATGATTATCGGTGTAATTTTTGTTGCATTAAAAAAACATTTGCATGTTAAGGGTTTGATTTTGATTTGTTGTGAGAAAACAAAAAACAGAGGAAGAAGAGATCATTGCATGACGAACTAAACTCTCTCCAACACAAACAGTCACACACACACGCACAAGCTTTTTTGATTTATTTAATATTTCAGATGAGAAAATCATCTCAAAAATGCAGATCTTGTGAGATCACAAAAACAGTTGTGATCTTGTTAGAATGGAGAATTTTTTGGATCTATAATTTTGATTATTGACTGGATTTTTAATATTTACATCTTATTTTTATTTTACAGGAATATGTGTATAATCGCCTGCAATTTAGGTAAAGTCAACTTTAATTCCCCCGAATATATATTTATAATTTAACATAAAAAAAACAGAAATTAACAATGTGATTGTTCTTTCTCTGTCTCTTGTAGCTTTGGTTGGTACTTCACTTTTATACAAGGATTTGTCTACTTGTTCCTCATCTACCTTCAAGGCTTCACCACAAAGCATATTGTGAATCCTATGAGAACTTATGTCAAACTCTCTGCTGTTCTCATGGGATCACATGGTTTAACCAAAGGCTCTTTGGCTTATCTCAATTATCCTGCTCAAATCATGTTCAAATCCACCAAGGTAATATCCACACTTCCCAATGAATATATCATTTAAAGTAGCCAAGTGTTCAGAGAATTGTTCAAATGGGGTTTCAGGTGTTACCTGTGATGATAATGGGAGCGTTCATACCCGGTCTGAGGAGAAAATACCCGGTTCACGAATACATTTCAGCCTTCTTGCTGGTTCTTGGTTTGATACTATTCACATTAGCAGACGCACAAATGTCTCCAAACTTCAGTATGATTGGGATTTTGATGATTACTGGTGCATTGATCATGGATGCTTTCTTGGGTAATCTTCAAGAAGCCATTTTCACAATGAATCCCGAGACAACTCAGGCAAGAAAACTCACACAAAAAAACTAGGTTCTTCCTGTTTTTCTTTTGTTTTGTTTCGAATCTAAGATTCTTGTGATGTATGAAATGTTCAGATGGAGATGCTTTTCTGCTCAACGGTTGTTGGATTACCATTCTTGTTCGTTCCCATGGTCTTAACCGGAGAGGTTTTCCGTGCTTGGACTGCGTGCGCACAAGTAAGTCCCAATCCTCTGTTTTTGTCCGGTTTTGGTAAACCGTAAAGCTTAACTAAACCAAATTAACCCGCTTTAGTTTTTGGTTTAGACACCATTTTTGAAAGTTCTTGGTTTAGGTTTGACTCGGTTTATGGTTCAAATCAGAGTCAGCTTCTTCGGTTAAGACTTATAATTAAAGAAGTCAAAGTTTTGTCGGACTCGAAATGAAATCATTGACCGACGACGTGCCTAAATCTACCAACCTTTTTTTAAAAGCCAACTTATATTTTATAATAATTCATTGATATTGAGTCTATAAGTAAAGTACCAACGTGTAATATTTTAACACTTGCAAGGTTCAATCATTCGTTAGGTGATTGATGTATTTAAAGAAACAAACTCATCTTTTGTTTATTTATTTTTTTTGCAGCATCCGTATGTGTACGGAGTGCTTGTATTCGAAGCCATGGCCACATTCATCGGTCAAGTCTCTGTTCTTTCCCTCATTGCCCTCTTTGGAGCCGCTACAACCGCCTTGGTAAAAACTCTAATCTTGTCTACTACACATACTCACTAGCCTTATTAACTGAATATGCGTTATAAGTTTTAAAACGTTTTTGTGTGTAGATAACAACGGCTAGGAAAGGAGTTACGTTGTTGCTGTCTTATTTAATATTCACCAAGCCATTAACTGAGCAGCACGGGTCAGGATTGCTGTTGATAGCAATGGGAATAGTGTTGAAAATGGTTCCTATGGATAGTAAACCTCCTAGCAAGATTCCAGCGAGACAAGCGGTTAGGAACGGTGGAGGAGAGGGTGGTAGAGATGATGAAGAAGAGAGGAAGTCATTGGTTTAATAATGTTGCCATGTATCTATATATATATTTCAGAAGTTTTAAGGATTTATAGACAAACACACAAAAGATGGGGGATGAAAGCAAATAGAGTAATAAAATATTGTTTTATTTTGCAAGAAATAGAATATTTAATTTAAAATATAACTCTATAATTAATATTTAATAAATTAATAAATTCAATAAATTAATAAATTCGATACAGTAATAAGCATAAAATCACTAAAAAATAGATTTTAGAAGAGAAAAAGATTGGTGAAAAACTGGTTCTAACTAAGATCCTCCTACTTCTTTATCTGATCTACTAATAACAAAATGATCTACAACTTTTACAGTGTTGATAGGATCTTGTTGCAATGATGTTGCACACCATTTACTTGGAAATCTTCTGTGGTGACTCATCTTCACCGTTGATCTTGGCTCTGAATCCCAGTCCTTGTCTAGCTTCCATTCCTTTGGCACCTGAATTCATTAAGCACATACACTCCTCTAGTTAAAGACCAAACACCCAAACAAAAGCTAATCCCATAATCACTTTGTCATTTTTATATTACTCACCTTATCTACTCCGAGAGTGAAGACTTCAAGGTCTCCATCAGGTTTGATGTGAAAACGTGTGAATGATTTGTAATTAGCAATGCGGAGGGAAGAGAATGCTTCATCAAAGTGTATGTGAAGCCAGTTGATGCAGATGTACAAGTAACTTCCAAAGACCAAAGACACAACAGGAGTTGAGAAGACCCAAAAGTAGAGGAAGACAGAAGCATAATATATAGCTGCTCCACTTCGTGATAGCGACTCCATTCCTTCCCGGCAAATGTTTGTCCGTGTAACCGCCATCACCTAATCGTTAAACACATTTAAGTTCGGTCCTAAAACAATGGCTTAGTTGATAAAATACATTATTACCTCAGGGATATCAAATGCTGACATAAGATATTTGAGGCAAGCTGGATAGAATCCGAAGGTCCACTGTTCAATACGGACTCGAAGGCCAGTGGGGTCTGGAAAGTGTTCATTTTCTACTGATTTGTACCATTGATACAATGTATGATACCCTGTAACGTTGTGTTACCATTCGTGTCAATGACATTGTAACGAGGAAATATAAAAGAACATCGTAACTGACCGGAGGTTGCAAGGAGCTTATGCTGAATACAGGTTTCTATACCGAGTTCCAAAAGCAACATAAGAATCAAAGCAGCAGTAAGGTGTGCAGTAACATGAAGAACTCCAATTAACATCCGTCTCTTCCGAGATATTTTAGAGGGAACAAACATAACTGCAGTTATTAGCAACATGACAACACCGGTGAAAGACACATATGACTTCTCTGTTATGTACACAAAGGCGCTCCAAACTGTGCCTAAGAAACTCCCCAGGTGGCCAGAAAATGAATCACCTCTTAAGATGTGGCCTAGCTTACACTGCAATTAATAAAAAATGAAAGATAAAAACCTTCTCATGAGTAAGTGAGCATAAATGAGACGCAAAACGAGTCTTGGTTTCACCATTTTGTAGTGGATTGCAATTTTAATAGGTACAATCTCAATTAGGCATGGCATTCGGTTTTGTGTTTGGTTCGGATATTTAGATTCTAAAATTTTAAGAATCATTCGAGTATTTACAAAACTCGGTTCAGTTTTGGTTTGGTTATTTCAGTTTTTGATTCACGTATAAAGTTGGGAACAAGCTAATATTAAAAAAAAATTCTGGTCCAATTCGGTCCACGTTCCATATTTGGGTAATTTTAGATAATTCGGTTTTTCAATTTAAATATTGGATAACTCGAGTTATTCGGAAAAAAATATTAGATAATAAAGATAATTTTTGATATTTAATACTCCCTCCGTTTCACTTTAGTTGTCATTCTAGGTTTTTGCACACAGATTAAAGAAATATTTAATTTTACATATTTTCAAGATAAAAACACAATTACCTAACCACTTTTCAACCAATAGAAAAATAGAATATTATATAAAACTAATAAATTTTGTCTCGAAACTCTAAAACGATACTTAATTTGTGACAGGAAAATAAGCCTAGAATGATATATATTCTGAAACGGAGAGAGTAGAAAGGATTTTAAAGTCAGAACCGCACCTGAGGGAACAAGGAAAAGACCAAGACAAAGTATATGATGCCACCAATGATATCAAACTGCCAGTTCTTTTTCCTAAACTTCAAAATATTTCCCAAAGCAATCTGCAAAGGAACAACATAAATCATAAAAAGTTTGAAAGCAAATGACAAAGTCAAATCATATAAGAGACACAAGAAACAAGAAAAAAAGAATTACCCTGCTTGAATCTTTAAAAGAAGGGTAAGCAGATTTACTTTCATAGGAAGCACCATAAAACTTTGAAAAGTTGCTAAACACATGGGTGGGATGCAAAAAAGCCCCTCCACAACCATTAACAAGGAGATGTTGGACATGAGCAGCAGCTCCATCTGATTGAGTACATGAATGACGCATATAATGATGCAAATCTCCTGCCATTCTAAGTTTACACCTGTCTTTCAAAAATTCGCATATCAGGTGTCTCATGTTCTTTCCAGTATTGTCTTTCCAATACCAATCAAGAAGCCAGTTCGGCTCATGTGTGATAATAATCACTGCATCATCCTTCCCAACCTAAAGGAAATGATCACAACAAAAATAACTCAAAACCTATATTACAGAACATAAGTTATGAACAAAAGTGCTCAAGTAGATGGAAAGTAGTATATTTTTATAGGATCTGCAGAATTTATTTAGCAGGAGTAAGAAAGTTGATGCTGAATCTACCTTTTCCTTCACTAATTCTGAAAAGAAATTGAACTGATAGACATCAATATCACCATGGAGGGCAAGATCCAAACCAAACACCCACCATCCTTTAGGTAGCTGGAGGGCAAAATAGCTTTTCTTTTGGGGCATTAACCAGCCACCAAGCCAACTTTTATGGCATATATACCTCATGAAGGTATTGAGACCATCAAACCAGTCTAAAATTTTAACAAACAAAATTACAATTTAAAGCAATACCATGTGAATATTATTAGAGACACAAAAAAATGAAATTGAGAGATGAAACCCACCATGGTTTCCAGGGATAAGAAAACATTGAGGACCATCATAATGCTTCAGATCAGAAACCCCTTCAGGTAACTCAGGCTTCTCAACAGATATTGAGTCGTTGTTATACCATTGGGGAGGTTGCAGCGCATACTCAAAAGGACAAAACAGACGTTTTTCATATGTAAACGCTGATGGATTGGGGTATCTGGAATACATCAAATAAAGACATCCATTTGGTTACATCCAAACCTGACAAAAAAAAAGAAGAGAAAACATGGAAACTTACGCAAGATCTCCTCCAATAAGCAACACGTTACCCCTTTGTAGAGATATAATATCATCATCTAGCGGGACATTGAGAAAAGGCTGAGCTAGAAGTTTTGCTACAGAATATGATGAATTGCCGCCATCACCAGTATCCGCCATGAAGTCAAACCAGAAATCATCCTTTTCGGTAAAATGATCATATAATAGTTCTTTTCTCTCGTCTCCATCACAAGTTTTGGTCATTGCAGCCTACATATTTATAAGATCAAACTGCGAAAAGATAGAGGATGTGAGATCATAAACGTATCACTAGAAACATATGTATACCTGCATCATCCGCATGTCAAAGCGGCCAAGAAACACAGTCACGGACACGAGAAGGTCGAACACAGTTTTAAACAAATCAGCTGAAGTTCTGAAATAAATAATTAGACAAGATCAGACAGTGCTTAAGTATCCTACTTCAAATTTGCAATGCCTTAAGGGAAAACATTGGACATACCCTGAATACCAAGGAACCATGTCTAAGAAATCAGGTTTCATTTGCTGCTTCTTCATCTTCTCATAATTGTTGACAGACACAGGGTGTGCCAGTGCCCACCTAACAGTACAGAAAAATTGACATAAGACCAATAATTATACTCTCTGTCTTGCTGACATTGTCACTTACCCTGTTGATCTCTCCACTACATAATTGGCAATATAAAGACCAATAAACGTTGCCCACAATGAGTATATAGGAGAAATTTCATCAGATGTAACAGGACAAGACCCATTGCATGCTAACTGCAACTACAAAAGGTATGATTAGATCATACACAACAAGTTTATATTATAATATAAAAGAAGCTAGACCTCCCCATAGATGACCCATTTAGACAAGAGTGGATAATCACTAGCAGATCCAACAGGAGCAAACCATGAAGAGCAGACTTGGTCTTTAAACTCATCAATCTGAATGAGTTTAGTAAGCCAAGTACTGTTGCTAGAACGCCTTCTTTCTAGTGGTGTTTGCCTCAGAAAAGCACGATTACCACAATGGCTGTAGAAAATACAGCACGCTATGCTTAAAACCTGCACAATTTGAATTTTCCTCAGAATCAAGTGACTTTTATTGTACAAAAGGTTTGGAGATAAGTGTACTCACAACACAGTTTTGAAGAATGGTTAAGATCTCAGGGCGTCTTCTAGCCACACGAGAAACAAGACCGAGATACCAAAACCCAATAAAAACAATGTGGAAGACAAAAAGGAAGACTACGGATGATGTGTAGATAGTAAGAAACAAGGACAAGTTCATCCTCAAATCCAATCCCATTGACTGAAAACTTGGGAGATGGTACAAAGCTGCAATTAAAATCCAAGCAACGTGCCTACACAAACAATACAAAAAATAAATAAATAAAACATTTGATTCTCACATATACAATTTATTGAAGAAGAGACAATCCTCAGTCCTCACCAACGACTGAAGGTTGAGTAGCTTGGTTGAATAGTCTTTCCTAAGAACGGAGATGAGAAGAAATAGAAGAATCCAAGAAGGCAAGCATACATGGACCACCATTTGAAATTGTTGTCAAGCTTTTCTACGAGAGTGTGCATGTTATCCGAGGATATAAAGAATAGGCAGCCCATGATGACAGCAATCATAGCGTGGCGTGAATGCTCATGCGGGTAAGGGTAAGTATGCGTTAGCATCGTTCTGACTCTCTCCATTTTAAGTTTATTGAGGAAACGAGCAGAGTGCTTATCGGAGCCCATAGCTTGATGTTCCTTTACTACTTAGAACTCTTGACAAGGCTCCAAATCTTGAGAGAAGTAAAGAATGGCTAGAAGAATAACTTCAGCAGAGAGAACCTTGTGACTAGGGAGATAGGAAAAAAAGAGCACATGTAGGCATTTAGCACAAGTGTCATCATGAACAAAGTTTTGATGCAGTCTCATCAAAGTTCTGAAAGTGCTTATGAAAATAATCAACCACCACACTACAAGTACACATGCTATTGGTTTTCCTTACAACACACTCTCTCTCTTCCATAAGACAATAAAAAAATGAGAGGTATTTACAATCCTGTACATGTTAGTTTATGCAGTCCTGAAACGAGCAAACCTTAAAGGATCTCAATATTGAATGGTACATGCATGAGACTATAACACTTACGTGGGTCAAAAGAAACATTGGTAATGAATGGGATCAATCAAAGGATTTGTTTTAGGATATGAGAAACAACAAAGGTCCAAAAGCTATACCTTCAAGGCTTCTTTCAATTATAATTAAAAAATCGCAGCTTGGAATCACGCGAACGCTGGCTCATCGATCAAACTGTAGCCTTCGAGATACATTCTCTTAGAATCGGTTTAGAGAAAGAGCATCGTTGATGTCGTGGTGAATCATGCTGATAAATAAAAAGAAAAACTTAATTTTTTAAAAATAATAATTTGTGGTTTTCTAAGAAGTACCAGTTTTTTCCGGAGAGAGATGTGGTATATCGACTCATTCTATCAGTCACTAATTTTTTCTGAATTTTTAAAATAAAAAATAAACTTAAAACATTTTAAATACTCTTAAATAAATAGGAGAAAGGAATCTCCGTAGCTACCTCCACAAGCATTAGATTCCAGAATCTTGGTGCACAAAAAAAAAGAATCTCTATCCAGAAATAGGTCCGGATATGCGTTTGTATAGTATATACGTCAATTAGGGATTTATTCAACATTTTATTTGGGGTAGACAAATTTTCAAAGTTTTTGATACGACCAGGCAAAAATCTGAACCAGAAAAAGTAAACCGAATGTAATCTTCCGCTGTTTGATTATTCAGATAGATCGAAAAGTGCAATCTCACTATCGAAAAGTTTCTCTGACTATTCTTAGTGATCCCCATATACACTTCACAAAAGTGCAATCTCACTATGTACTTGAATCCAGAATCAACTCAAAAACCCAGGTCAGGTTGAAGTTGCTATTTTGTTTGCCATTTGGGGTCATCGGCCTGGCTGTCAGATATAGATCTAACGCAAATATGTTGAAGAGAGGGTATATTCAAGTATGCGCACAAATATGTTAAAGAAATGGGTATATTCAATAAGAAGCTGATATATATTCACAAAAATCGAAATACATCAATAGCACATGATAATCAATTAAATGTTTAAACAAACGCTTATACCAAGAACATGACATTAAGTTTTTGAGGTGGATAATTGACACTAAACGTTGAGTTTTCTACTTCATATAATACTAGTTGCATATTCCCCGCGCAAGCGCGGGGCCGTGATCATTATGTTTGCGTGTATTTTTTTCGATTGTTGGTTTAGTGGATTCTTCTAATGACACCAATTAATAATGAAATGGAAAATTTCATGTTTTTATATCGTATGTCAAAACTTGATATAATTCTATATTTATAGTATTTATATTTGTATTAAACGATTTATCAATATGAAAATAACCTTAATTAAGTTAATATTCGTTNGATCATTATGTTTGCGTGTATTTTTTTCGATTGTTGGTTTAGTGGATTCTTCTAATGACACCAATTAATAATGAAATGGAAAATTTCATGTTTTTATATCGTATGTCAAAACTTGATATAATTCTATATTTATAGTATTTATATTTGTATTAAACGATTTATCAATATGAAAATAACCTTAATTAAGTTAATATTCGTTTTTTAAGTTTCATTAGATAGGTTTTTATATATGTTTTTTTGTAAGTTTGGGTTTTGTTCATAAATGATGTGGCATTTTTATCTACGGAGTCATCGACTGTGGGAATTCATTCGCCGAAGTCTGGAGTCGGTGGTGAGAAATGTTTTCAATGAAATTATAGTAGTTATTAAAATGTAAGATAAATTACATATTCATTTAATAAATAACTTACTTAAATTTTGTTGTTTTATTTTATTTTATCTCACATACAAATTTTTTGAAAATATATATTAGGAAATATGTGCAGTGATTTAACTTTTTGAGCTCCTAATCTATATTATTCAACCCTCATTAAGCCATCCACGTATGCACCCGCGTGGAATTCACTTTTTTTTTGTTTTTTTTTTGTCTGTTCGTTTTTGGATTTATTTTTTATTATTTTTGGGTTGAGATCTATTATAATAGGATAGTTTTAAGGTTCTTTAAGCCATCCGCGTAGGCAACCACGTGAGACTTGTTTTTTATGTTTTTTGTTTTATTGTTCGTTTTGGATTCTTTTTTTTTTTTTGACATCGAAAGGAACAAAACATTAAAATCAACTAGCATCCATCTGGCTAGCAACAGGGGCTAACCATCTTGGAGCATTGCAGTTCACATAGGGAAACCGGAGGTCGCGTACGCGTACTCCCTTAGCTAGGCCATCCGCACGGTTATTCAGAGTCCGTGGAAGATATGATATAGAGAAGGTAATGAAGTTACTTCTGAGGGCTTTAATTTCATCCAGTTCCGCTGCCATAGCCGGCCACTCGTCATCATCTTTCTTAATAAGGTTCACTAGTTGCTGACAATCTGTTTCAAAGTGCATTATCCTGGAGTTTCTTTCCAAAGCTTCTTGCATCGCCCAGATTAGTCCTTCGGCTTCTGCGTGTAGAGGAGATTCTGTACTCATCACCCTTCTCGCTCCGTATAGAAACGTCTCTCCCGCCTCCATCATTATAAAACCAACACCGGCGTCCTCACTAGCGCTTACCCATGAAGCGTCCACTTGGCATCTCCATCTGGGTAATGGTGTATCGTCCGTTCCAGGTCTGTCTCTCTGCTCGTTCTCCATCAACTCTTCCTCTATCGCCGGGACAATCTGAGCCACCTCCCAGCTTTCTGCTTCTCTTAACGCTATTTGGATCGTCTCCATAGGTGTGATGTCTTTATTGTTAAAGAGCTTCTCGTTGCGCGCTTTCCATATATACCACATGATCCATGGGAATACCTTCATCATCTCTGTAGTCGCTCCATAATCCTTTGCTCTCCATAGTAGATAATCAATATTCGCGAAGAGAGATTGCTTCGGGAATAACCCCGGAGCTGCAGGGATTGGAGATATAGCCCAACATTGTAGGGCGGGAGGACATTCAAATAAGGTATGGTTTATAGACTCAGATTCCGCGCCACATCGAATGCATGTACTATCTCTCGTACAATGTCTATCTTTTAGCCGCTGTGCCGTCGCCATGAAGCCAGATATTGCTTGCCAAATAAAGTGCTTAAGTTTCCTTGGAGCTTTTATCTTCCATGCTGCTTTCTTTAGCTCTTTTGTACTGGGTTCCTCGATCAAGGCCTGAAACGTTTTTATACGCAAGTCCCGAGCCACCGAGTGTCCCGATGCCACCGTATATTGTCCTGATTTTGTAAGGTCCCAGCTAAAGCAATCTTCTCTCCCAGTTCTACTTAGTCTGATAGCTGTAATATGGGGAATGTCTTCGGCCATTACCAAGGTTTCCAGAAGCTCTGAGTTCCATGAGTTTGTTTCCACATTAATAAGGTGGTGTACACTCAGATGGTCATCTTTGTTTGTATCCCGCGGTAGAGGTGGGCGCGCCGGTTTTGTTGTTAGCCATGGTTCTGTCCATGCCTTGGTGTTGTAGCCGGTTCCAATCCTCTTTCGTAGACCTTGCTCCAGAACTTGTTTCCCCGCGATAAGACTTTTCCACCCATACGAAGGGTTTGATGCTCTCTCCACCTTCATAGGGTTTGAATGCCGGTAGTATCTACCTTTCATGACTCGCGCAAGGAGAGATTTCGGGTATTTCAGTAGTCGCCAAAGCTGTTTGGCTAGTAAGGCCAAATTAAAATCATTGAAATCTCTAAATCCTAATCCTCCCTCGTCCAATGGAGCACAGATTTTATCCCAAGCCACCCAGTGGAGTCCTCTATTATCAAGCTTGGTGCTCCACCAGAACCGAGATACTGCACTAGACAAGTTTTTTGTGATTCCTTTCGGGAGTAGGTAGCAAGACATGACATAGGATGGCACCGCCTGAGCGATGGACTTTATTTGAACTTCCTTGCCTCCCTTTGACAACAGCTTCGATGACCATGAGTTAGTTCGATCCTGAAGTCTTTCTTGCACGAAGCTGAACACTTGCTTTTTAGATCCACATATCTTCTCCGGTAAGCCTAGATACATACCCATTCCACCTTCTTGGGTGATGTCAAGTGACCGTTTCAGGTCTGTTTTTAATGACGCTGCGACCTTAGAACCGAACAGAACTGAAGATTTAGATTTATTCAGTTGTTGTCCTGAGGCTTTTCCGTAGACGTCGATGATTCTCATCAGTTCACTACATTCGCTTTGATCAGCTCTACAGAAGAATAGACTGTCATCCGCGAATAGTAGGTGTGAGATTGGTGGGCTCTCCCTCGCGATCTTTATTCCTGTGATCTTCTTTTCTCTTTCCGCATTCTGGATTAGCGAGATCAAGACCTCCGTACATATAATAAAGAGGAATGGGGATAGCGGATCTCCTTGTCGCAGACCACGTGTCGGTGTGATATTTCCTTTGGCTTCCCCGTTTATAAGAACACGGTAAGAGACTGAAGATATGCAGCGCATAATAAGATGTATCCAGTTCGCGTCAAAGCCCATTTTTTCCATCGCAGTCTCGAGGAAGCTCCATTCTACCCGATCGTATGCTTTACTCATGTCCGTCTTTATCGCTGCAAATTTATCTTGACAGCTTGGGTTCGTCCTCAGAGCATGGAACATCTCTTGCGCCACTAGGATATTATCGGTGATAAGTCTTCGAGCCACAAAGGCCGATTGTGTTTCCG